TACTGGGCTGAAAGTCAATATTATTTATTTCTATGAGTTGAGCATCATGATCGGATAAGCCATTTATAAAGGGTCCTACAGTATAGTCTCTTAATTTTGAGTTATCAATGAATATATTATCTATCGCTGAACTAGAATTATTTTGAACTCTTGTGGGAAAGTTAACAGTACTGGAGAGATTGTAAGATGATAACAAAGAGTCTAAATTTAGTTTCCTATTACTGTCGATGAGATAGTTTATATTTATATCATCACAAATTATAAATTCAACTTTTGAACTATGCAGTACATTTAGGATGGTTTCTAATCTATTTATAAAGTGATCGAAGTTTCCAGATGGGGCTCTATATAAAGTCAGTATACAAATATTAGACAGTAGAAATTAAAGGGGGACACACAATGGACCAATAACTGGTCTAAGTTCATGGGGAAACCCACCCCCTCTAATAATAATAATAAAATAATTCCTTCTCTTTTCTTTGCAATACATCTGAGAAAAACAAAGTTTCAGGACATGTGATCCAACGTGTGCTTGCCCTGACACATATGAAGCTAACAAACAGTGGGGAATATAAGCTATAGAGGGCATGGTTAGCATGCTGACTGAAGGAGACTAAAACGCTTTCTTTATATTCTTCTGGTCTTAACGATCTGGAGGTACACTACTGGCCAGACTAAAGCATTCATGGTTGCAGCACATGTGGCAATACAACACTGACATAAAATTCCTTGTGGAGTTTTCTTACCGGATTATTATAAGTATGTTCTTAACTTTCTCAGCAACACCAAGATCCTCAATTAAACACTGATATATTGGGTTTTTGGACTTTATCCATCGTCCTGGTTTTTAAGATAACAAATAAAAACACGACGTTTCGGAAACTGGATCTGTTTCCGTCCTCAGGTGAAGGAAAACACCTATTCAGTTGGGTCCGTTAGAAAGAGCTAGCCTCAATCACTGTACAAACAGATGTCACAAAACATGAAGATTATAAACATCTGAGACCAGGCTAAGTCCATGAGAGCTAATAAGAGAAATATTCATAACAAATTGTAGCAAAATGTACAAGCGTGGAACCAGGATAGATAGATCTGTATAAATTTATGCCACGAAACTAAACTCATAACCAGGTCCATGACCCCACGGCATGGAATAGAAAGAAGAACTAGTAACAAAAACTAATAGTGTTAAACCAGCGTCAACAGTGGAGTAAATCACGTCTATCTAATTTAGAACTTAAT